CAAAATCCAATTAGCAACATCACTCTGTAAAGTCACACGTATTTTAAAGCTAAGCTAAGCCCGCATTGTATATTTTTTATAATATAGTTTTAATATATAAGTGTTTCATTGAATTCATTGTTTATTGCGGCATGTTACAAATGAGAAAGTTCATGATAAAAAATACTTTCCAAGTAAAAATTGGAAAAAAAGTTATTTAAGAATCAGCTCGCAAACATTAAACGTTAATGTTTGGGACTGGGGGTCACTTTAATTATATAAGATCCATAGAATCGTGCCCTATTTCTTAAATCATAACTTACTTTACTCAGATATAATGGTAAAAGTTCAACGAGTAAAGGAATCAAAGTGTATGTTTAAAACAAAGATTTATATTAAGTATGCTAAATACTTTCAGTCAATGCGCGGCTATTCACCACACAACTTAATTTCAGCGGTTCCATAAAAACATAATAGTATCCGCTCAGGAGGTCACTATACTTTTTTGTCGGACAGCTGACGTTATTGTGAATCTTGTATTAATAACAGGTAAAATATTAGGAAAATGACGTTGCTTTTATTTAATGATTGACAACCTAAAAAATACTTACCAGTATGTATATATGTATGTTTCTTCATATCTGATTTGTGGTGAAATCTTTTCCCGCAAAACCGATAGGGATAGGGCCTTGTGTCACTGTGAATCAAAAGGTGCGTGTTCAGTTTCGACGACCGCTTGAATGTTTTCCCGCACTCGTGACACCTAAATACCTTGCCGGTGTTATTGTAAAGAGTTTTATTTGTGTAATTTCCATTTAAATACATCTGCGTGAAGTTTCTGGCTGTGCTGTGTAAATTCTTGATGGATTATCCTTCCGGTTCCCTACTCATTGTTTGCGAGTAGTCTTTATATCTATCCACAGTGATTATTTGCTTTTCGTTCCTTTTACTTGGTGACACTGGGTTATTTCTTGTTGGGTCATTTCCTGTTGGGTTATGTCTTGTTGGGTTCACGGGGATAGTCTTCAAATCTAGAAGGGAGTCTGGGCGGTTACTCGTGTATTCAGTCATGACGAAGCCAGAGCGAAACGAAAAGTGAGACATGTAACTGTCGGCCTGTAGATAATTACCATACTTTAATGTGTTGTTATTCTGTTCAGGAAGCGGTTGTTCTTTATCTGCATGGAAAGGACGTTTCAAAGTAATTCAAGGATTTTGGCTATTCTGGCGTTTGGTCATTTCAGTCTACGTTCCCTTCAAAAACCGGCTTCCCAAGATAAAACGGATATCCTTAAAGATAAAAAAATCATCATAAGTATGAAATGTATGGAAAAACGTGGTTAGAGAATATAAAACATTTTTATAAGAGCACAGCAAGAGTGAATTTAAGAAATATAAGACTGGAGGAAAATGTTGACATTCATAAAACTAAAGCAGATTTTTATGATTGTATTAATGCGCTTATTTATAAAAAATATGATCAGTATTACCAAGATGCACAATGAATGATATTGTTTATATGGTTTATATATACAATAGAATATTTTAAGTCTTTAACACTCAACTATCACGATGGCTCTTGAGACAAGTTGTTATTCATTTAATGCTTTACATATAGTGTTTTGTACCACAATTTCAAAAACATTAATTATTGTTTTCTTAGTATTTATTTCATACGGTAGCACAAAGGTGACATGTGTGTGTTTTTATTTATCTCGTGGCCACGAGATACTATGTCGTGGCCACGAGATACTAAGTCGTGGCCACGAGTTACTAAATCGTGGCCACGAGACAGCTAAGTCGTGGTCACGAGATACTATGTCGAGGCCACGAGTTACCTGGTTGGGTAAACATAGTATCGACATAGTATCGCGTGGCTACGACTAAGCTATCTCGTGGCCACAACATAGTAACTCTAGGCCACGACATAGTATCTCATGGCAACGACTTAGCTATCTTGTGGTCACGACTAAGCTATCTTGTGGCCACAACTAAGTTACTCGTGGCCACGACATAGTATATTGTGGCAACGACTTAGTATCTCGTGGCCACGACTTAGCTATCTTGTGGCCACAACTTTGTAACTCGAGGCCACGACATAGAAGCTCGTGGCCTTGACATAGTATCTCGTGGCCACGACATAGTAACTCGTGGCCACGACATAGTATCTCGTGGCCACGACTTAGCTATCCCGTGACCACGACCTAGTAACTCGTGGCCACGACTTATTAACTCGTGACCACGACTTAGTATCTCGTGGCCACGACTTAGCTATCTCGTGGCCACGACTTAGTAACTCGAAACCACGACATAGTATCTCGTGGCCACGACATAGTATCTCGTGGCCACGACATAGTAATTCGTGGCCATGACATAGTATCTCGTGGCCACGACTTAGCTATCTCGTGGCCACGACCTAGTAACTCGTGGCCACGACTTAGTAACTCGTGGCCACGACATAGTATCTCGTGGCCACGACTTAGCTATCTCGTGGCCACGACTTAGTAAATCGTGGCCACGACATAGTATCTCGTGGCCACGACATAGCCATCTCGTGGCCACGACTTAGTAACTCGTGGCCACGGCATAGTATCTCGTGGCCACGAGATAAATAAAAACACACACATGTCACATTTGAGCCACCGTATTTATAACATCAATGATGTTAGAAAAATTACCTCTACGCTTTGTCATTTATAAGTCAGACCTATCAGTCTTTGTAATATCATTCCTTCATTATTCTACAACAATGCACTGAAAATTGATATCTATTTTCCAATTAGAGTATGCTAACAAAGATTTTAAATCATGAACTATCAGATAATTAATCGCTGTCTGTTCTGAATTTCACAGATGCTGGTTTCTATCCTCAGACTAATATTCTTATTACATAAATAATTCTCAAATTTTAAAGACTAATTTAATAAGCAGTTATCTGACAGCAAATCTCTGACTGCATGTTTGTTGATCACTAGCCTGGATAACCAAACAATACACTACTGTCACTACTCTTTTCGTTGTTTGTACTAACTAACAAAACTAAGTGCAATAACTGATTTACTCCTATTAAATTTAGAAAAACTTATTCCTTTACAGCACTAAGGTGACACATTGAATCCTGGAAACTACACATACATTGTACATATCTGAACAAACAATTGTACAGACCAGTTTTATTTACCTGTTCTTGCGTGCCAAAGTGTTCCTTACATATAACACTTGGCATTTTGGAATCATCTCTCTTGTTAAATTTTTCTTTAGCTTTCTTCCAGTCTGTCTCAGTGAGAAGTTGTTCAGGGGCATCTACTAAACCAAACTTCTGAGCTGTTTCGTAAAATCAAGTTTGTTTATAAATATGAGTTTTATAAATATATGTACTTCAAAGGAAATTGGTCTTTGCTCTATTTTTTGTCCAATGAATTTGATCCTATGTCGCTCCTTTCTGAGCTGTTTAAATAGTTAATTGTTTCTGATTATCGCCTACCTATTACATAAATGTCTTCTGTTTTGTAAAAAAATGTTAGATATAGCCTAAAATTGTCATGCTTAATCATGCAAAAAGCACAAAAGTTTCAGAAAAAAAAGTGTAACTGCTGACATAGTTTCAATATGGATATATAAAAACAACATTAAATTGCTACAATTTATGAAAGTATTGAAACATGCTGAAATTTGTCAAATACAAGGGCAAAAATAACAGGCTAAAACACAAACCAACCAAGTGTAAGAGGAGGTTGCTTTGGATCTAAAACACATTCCCTTTCTTTCTCTTCTTTCTTCTTTATTTGAGGTTTGCACTTTCCAGTACCGTCCATGAACAGGCTCAATCAAACCGAGCCTGCAACATTTTCAATTTTGCCGTGTTGGGCTTTCTTTAGGGATTCCGTATTTATCTATATTATCTAAAATTAATTCAAATATTTTTTGTTTATTTTTCTTTTATGACAATTTTATGAACAAAATGTCACTATCAGCAACAGAAGTCTAGGCCACCTTATGGCCACCTGATGATAATATTAAAGTCTTTTTGTCTTAAACATCTCTCTGTTGTAAGAATTACATTAAATAATAAGCTTCTCATTAATAGTTTAAAATGATGACACCGTAAAGGTATTACAATGCAATATAATAGATCATTTAACTGTTATTCATTATATTTTTATCTCTGATTTGTAGGGGTTTTACTGAAGTCAGCTTGTCCATTTGTTGGCTAATCTGTCTGCCCGTGTGAAATCTTGTGGATGGTACTCTCGCGAGTTATTGATGGATGTTTTCGAAACTTATATACATGTTTGTACTAGGATGTAAATGTACATGTAAAAAGCTGCGAATTTATCCCCTTCATATAGAAATCATGGCCGCTAGAATATTTTTTTCTTTGCAAAATGGACTGGTACTAAACAGATTGGCAAAAGGGTACCAGTATCTGAAAGTGTGTAAGGAGGGCGAGGGCGGCACCATGATGTATTTAACAAGCGAGTATATTCCTGATATCATAAAAACAGATCCCCAAGTCCCGAATCACTACATTGTCAGATTAAAACCAGACATTAACCGGTCTATATCAACAACTGACTTTACTTACATCACTAACAAATTAAAGCAGAGGCAACAGATAGACTGTGCCAAACATTTGAAGGCATATTTCAACATTTTACTCACATGCACAAACAACTGACAGACATATACTAACAACTTAACTAATTATTGACAGGCTAACTAACAGGTGCCTGTTTGTGCCTGAATTAATGCTTATAATTGGAAAGGCCCCTAAGGTTTTCCCCATCACATAAACTGGAAAGTTGCTACATGACTTATACTGTGTTACAAGTTTATTAAAAAAGAAATGACAGACTTATAAAAACAATTAGTGTACATTCAGCATCATCAACAAACATATAGAAGAGTTATCAATACAATTTTAATTTCGGTATCAAGTATTTGTGAGAGGTGTGTTCCTATGTTTGAAACTATTAAACAAAATATGGATGCTCTTGGCCCGAAAATACCAACAAATCAGTATGACAGGTACTTAATGCATTTTATCCAACATATAACTATTTTATACTGGCAAACAAATTTAAGTAATCCAAATAATAGAAAAGATTTATTGAAGTTATTGTCTAGAGGTAATCTTGTCTTTGCCTCTACATTCAGCGATATATTTTTTTATCCCTTCTGTCTTCATTTCACTTATCATTGTCATTATTCAGTCACATACTAATTAATTTATTTAACAGCCTGTAAGATATTTGACTGTTTTTAGCTCGACTTAAAAGTATAAGGAGAGCTGTTCTACTCCCCCAGCGTCCGCGTCCGCGCCCAGATTTCATTTTGAAGTTTTGGTGCAGTAAAATATTTTTCACTATACCTTTTTTATTTCTTAAGGTATCAACTTCAAACTTCAAAGATATATTCCTTATCATCAATCACATCTTATGTGACAAGGTTCATAACTCTAGCACCAATATTTTCATATTTATCTCCCCTTGAACTTAGAATTTTCCTTAAAAATACTTTTTTACTGTTACTTCTTTATTTCTTATGGGTCAACTTCATCAACCACATCTTATTTGACAAGGTTCATAACTCTAGCACCAATATTTTCAGATTGATCTCCCCTTAAACATAATATTTTCCTTAAAAATACTATTTTTTACTGTTACTTATTTATTTCTTAAGGGATCAACGTCATACTTCAAATATATGTTTCTTATTTTTAGCCACATCTAATGTGACAAGGTTCATAACTCTAGCACCAATATTTTCAGATTTATCTTACATTGAACTTAAAATTTTCCTTAAGAAATAATATTTTCACTGTAACTTATTTATTTTTTTAAGGGATCAACCTCATACTATTTTTACTGTTACTTCTTTATTGCTAAAGGGATCAACTTCATACTTCAAATATTTGTTTCTTATCACTAACCCCATCTTATGTGACAAGGTTAATAAATCTAGCACCAATAGTTTCAGAATAATCTCACCATTAACTTTTTTTACTTGAAAAATGTTATTTTTTACTATTACTTCTTTAGTTTTAAAGGTATCTACCTCTAAATTCAATTCCTACTCCTTATCATCAATTACATCTTATGTGACAAGGTTCATAGCTTTTGAAGCAATATTTTCAGATTTATCTCTCTTTGAACTTAGGATTCTCTTTAAGAAATATTATAACTTTTTTATTACTTAAGGGATCATCTTCAAACTTCAAATATATATTTTTTATCTTTACACAAATGCTGTGTGACAAGGTTCATAACTCTAGTATGACTATTTCGAAAATTATTCCCCCTTGAACTTAGAATTGATGTTAACAAATGTTATTTATCTACAATAACGTAATACATAATAATTATACATAACTGATTTTTCTTTCATAGTTTTGTCTTCTTTACACTGTCCAGTATTTTATTAGTCGAGCTTCGCTGTCTCCAGTGACGGCTCTTGTTTCATTCTTTTTTAATTGATTTTGGTCTTGCTCACCTGTACACTTGTATACAAATAATAGAAAATCTAATAGGAAATTTATAATTATTTTCAGGTATAATGATCAAGGTTTGTGATACAGAGGCTAGCTTTCTTGTCGGCCTATTTAACATATTAACAGTCGAAAACTTTGGTTACCAGGGAAACGGTGGCACAAGTGATTGGAGGTAAAAAAAAACAACAAGAAAAAACATTTTCACAATTTATGTTCTTCTTATATATCATCTGTCCGACTATATTTGCATTTAACACTTTGTTTAAAATAATGTATACTGTACTATACTATTACACTGATAAATAGAACCCTTATAGGTACCAGTACTAGGGTAAACATATGACTGCTCACTGTAAGAGGTATCATATTTTACCTGTGTGTAACAGGAGATTGGTGAAACAAGGTCTAGTTTTATAATTATTATAAACATTAAATTTCTAAATTTAAATTCTTTGACTGGAAGGAAATATTGAGTGACTAATTGGCTGGAAATAATTTGTTACTTGTCCACCAATACATTGATTCAAACTACGCATGTGCACAATTTATAATTTGGAAATTTTGCATTATTCTTTTACCAAAGAATAATGTAATAACTATCAGTCAGTTTATATGACAGTCATATACATAGGTTCAGCATGCTGATTCCTAACTAACATTAAAAATAAACTAGTTCAAATACAATTAAGAAATGAGTATTCTTGTGCTACCTTTTAACACTTTTTACAAAAGATTTTTCACTGTTAGGCCATGCTAAATTAATTTTGTTGAATGCTGAATCATTGAATTATTTACCATAGAAATTGACATAAATTTGCAATTTAAATTAACAATTTATTAAGCATCCTAAATCATATAAGGATATTGATGAGTTTAGCTCATATATAGTAAAAATGATGAGATTTGTATAATTTCAGTAAAAACTGACAGACAGAAATGTTTTCATATAGATGTAGATGATTACTAGATGGGGTTGTTGTGGTATATGTTTACATATAATGAATATTTAATAATGTAAATATATTGAAAATATGAAAAAAATTACTTCAAATACCATTAATTATTTCAAAATTGATTGAACATCGAGGTATGTGTCATCTGTGAGGTGCATCAGTGTGTTCTGGGAACATTCCTAGTTATATTTTATATCTATTTTGCTTATATGTTTATATATTTATGTACAAAACAAATATCACATACTCATTTTTAAATCACATACTCCTTTTGAAATAAATGCCATTAATATATAAAATATACTAACAGAAAAAAACAGCAAAAACATTCATGAAATTATAAAAAAAAAAAAAAAAATAAATAAAACTTTCATGTAAAAAATATCGGCATAACAATAAGGGCATTGAAATGATTATAAAAACAGAAGAAAAATGACCTCTTATACAATAGATTTCGATAAATGGCCTCTTCCCAATAACATTTTTTTAAATCATGCATTTTTCTTAAAAATCTGAAATTAAACCTGCTTTTTTTTCTTCTCAAATTAGCAATTGTAGCGATAATTTTTCCTAAAATCATGAGGCTAAGGCCTCTTCCCAATAAAGTGAGAAAAATCCCTGTTATACTTATGAACTAACATGTGTCTATTTAACTAAAGGCACTACTACACTTTCTATATTTGAACACTATTTCTTGTAACTATAAGTCATGGTACAAATAAAAATGGACAAATAAAAAATATATATATTAAAATTTGATAAAGGATTATTACACTTCAAATAATGATTGATTTACACAATGTATTATCAACTATACATGTACATATATATACAGGTATTCATACTTGTGTAACTTTACCTTTGAGTTATTACACTCAAGACTGACAGTGAATTCGGTGACAGCTGGTGACTACGGTAGACCAATGAGAATTGCCAAGTTTGTGGGAGAGCTGGACTCCGGTTTTAGACTACTCAACCTTAAAAATGATTCACTGAGAAAAAGATTTGATGGTCTGAAATATGACCTGAAGAAAGTAGAGGAAGTTGTGTATGACCTGACAATTCGTGGATTAAAATCTGCAGAATGAATACTTTATATGTTTTTCTTTTATCTGGTAACAAACGTTTTCTTTTTTTAATTTTCTTTTTAAGCTTCACTATTTTAATAGGGAGGGCTGATGACTCACCAGGTGTCGCATCAGTGTTGCCTTCACATTTTGGTTAAGTTTTTGTGTGCAAGTTGGTTTCTAAAAAATACTGAAGGGAATGTGTTGAAGACAAGACAATCACTTACATAATGATGATCTTGTTTGTATGAACAAATTCAGAATATCGTAAAAAATCAACTTATGTTATGTTGTTCCCTCCCCCAGTCACGAAAAAAAGCAAATTCAACAGTCATTGGTTTGTGAACTTTGTTAGTTAAAAAAACCTTTATTACTATTTTATGTATAAATATCATTTGATTTTTAACAAATGAAATTAGGGCATAAGTGTCCATGACATATTTCTAGTTTAGTTTAACCAAATTTGCAAGAAAGTTGCCACTCATTAGCAAAGGGCTGATTTTGTCTTGCAGGGCAGAGTTGCATTCTCTAAAAGCATATTTGTGAAATATTTAAAAAGTCTCCTTCACCAAAAGTAATTTGACAAATAGAGTTTCAATTCACACCAACACTGGAAGGTTGTATCATACTACGACGACAGCTTTGCTTGTAGAAATCGACCTATGTTATGTAGGCATGGTCAGGCTATGTAGAAGAAGGGCTACAATGAATGTCACATTGTCCCTCCAGAGTCGCTTATCTATTAGTCCCCTCCTGAATTAAAAGGGGACATTAAAATGGAGTTTCCGTTAAGACTCGTATCTTAGAAACATTTTGTCCAATGTTTTCGAAATCCAAAGGGGAGTTCATAGAGGTATTAGGATCACAAAATCCACAAATGGATTTTGAGTAATTGCCCTTTGTTAAAGTGGCATATAATGCCCTTCTAAGTTTTTAGATGAATAGCCAAATGACATTACACCATATCATAATAATATCTTAGTGTCATTCATGCATTTATTTACTATATTAGCTAAATTTATTTTCACTTCTATTGTGAATCTCGGGTTAAAACTGGCTTTAGTGTTACCGAATGATTATATATTAAACAAATTTGATGGTTTTATTCACTCAATATTGTTTTGTTTTTGATAAAATGGAAACAGTTTATGGGATATTTTAAGAAAAAATTAATTCATTTATAATTATTATGACTGTAAGCTGCACATTTATTTTATTTAAGAAAAGAAACTGGCGTTACTCTATGTTCTTGGAAAAAAATTTTACGGAATACCTTTTACGGAAAGCCAAGTGTGTTCTTAAGGATTGTATTACTCTAATAGCTTTATTTACTAATTTTAACCACCATTTACATAATATCTCGCAGACTTCGATGATGAATACCCATCGAAATCAACAAATGGAAAATTAATCCCATATTATTGTCCATTGAATACGAAACAATTTAAAACAGCGTTTGCAAATTTGTTTAGACACTAAATCACAGGCATTCGGCTTATTTGCGTTGACCCTATAACAAGTAAAGAAACTGATAGCGAACAGCATGGATCCAGATCAGACTGCGTGGATGCGCAGGCTGGTCTGGATCCATGCTGATCGCAAACCCATTATGTTGGTTTTGTCGTGACGCGGCTCATTTATGGTAAAGTAGAAATTATTTATTACAGGTTTCCAAGCCATTTTCAGACAGAACAAAAGGACCGAACTCGTAACCTTAAAAAACAATCCTATTTGTTGTTGCGAACACGTTATGACACATATTTCGCAGCCTTTAGTGTTTTTTTTTTCTCTTTCTTGATATTTTAACGTTTTACTGGAAACACCTAGTGAGACTCGATCCCACGTTTGTACTCTTTCAGTTCAGCTCCTTATATTTACAAAGTGTGATTTCTTGCTTTGTTAAACACTTCCGTTCAGTTGAAATTGATGAGGGGTCGTATGTATGATGATCACAACTGCAATATTGCAACACAAAACAATGGATGACTGTGTCGAGCGTTCAATTTAAAACAAAGTACTTTTTACGTGACTTGCTTGATCACAAGATATCATCAGCTCCCTTCTTCAAATTTGACATTATTGTCCAAAATTAGGTTTAGTGTTGAATACAATCTGGTCATATAGTAAAAGCTATTGACATGTTTCGTGATGAGGGGTGAGTGAATGCTTGATTTTAAACTAATGACTGGATTCAATTTCAATATGTGTTTCATCACATAGATCGGTTATGTAAATATTTTTTTCTTAACTTTAAAAAGCCCTTCTTGAAAGTTTTATTATGATCATTTATGTAGTAAATTTACCAGCGAGAAATATCCTGCCGCCTATATCAGAATCTCAGCGGAAACATAGCTATTTGTCAAAGTTATCTATAAATGAAATGTTTATCTACATCACGAAATAAAGCCCACAATTAAGCATATAAAATAAGAATAACAACCATACTGAAATCATTTTATTTGTATTATAGAATGAATTTGATCGGGACATATACGTACGGCACGCGTGAAAAAAACCTAGGTATAAAAATACCAGGCTTGACTTATATTCACAAAGACAAAAAAAATTACTACATTAAAAAAAGAAAGTAATTTAGATATTGTAACCGGCACTTTCAATGCACGTAAATTACCAAATACAGGTCAAAATAAACAAAAATAGCCCTTACTGCGTTAGTTGCGAAGTAGAAATGTAGTGATACTGCAAAATCAGTCATTCATTGCAAAAACATGCCAATCATTACTTGAATTGTGAATATTTTTACTTTTCTTTAAATTTTAGTATATTTTTCTCAAAGTTGAATTTCTTGATTTTTTTCTCCAGCTTCTCTAGAGACATGTACAGTAAATTACATGTCCAAAGACATTAGTAATATTTCAATGTCACTAGTAACGGCACCTGAAGAACCGTAGTTCTAAATTTGTTTGTGCTATAACATTACATATTTTTTTGTAGTGCTGGAAAAAATTTGAGATAAAGACGGAACAGAACTGTTAGTTAAGCAAAGCGTTATAAAATCTCGTTTAAACTGAATATGTTGCGAGATACTGTAAAACCAATCATTTAGATATTTCAATAAAAGCATTAATGTCATTTATATATCGATTACAAGAGATGCGTGATTTCACGGCGCAACGTATCGTGACAATTCTATCTATTATTTATTACCGGAGTTTGATTTATTTGTGATATTATACAATATTGGTGTTTGATTTATAGTCACACTTGAGTTAATTTTTCTAAACTCTTTTTGAAAGATTAAAAAGTATTTTAATAATAAATAAGTTTTTGTTAATTCTAGCATTATTTTACTTGATTACGATAGACATTTAAGACAATTCCGAGCCGCCAAGTCGTTTTTTTATAAAGACTTTCATCAAGTTTGAATTAAAAGCTTTAAAATAACTTGAACACATAACGAAAATCCATTAGTTCTAAAGAAGAGCTGGTGTGAATTATTACCTATTTTGGCTGATATATGATATATGAATATATCCAATTGGTAACTACCTTCCATTCATCTACTATGACTTCGCTAATTCCCCCGGTATTAAAAAGTCAAATACCATAATAAGCACTATAAAAGCTTATTGATATTTTTTATTTGGATTTCACTTTTTTAATAAAAATTCTGCGGACGGCTAGAAGGGCGGGAGCGCGGGCGTGCGTAAACAATTTAGAAGAAAACAATCTCTGAAAGGATGTTTAATAAAGTGAACTATGGTCACTAAGTTCCGTAGGTCATATTATTGCCGAATATTTTTGAATTGACTATTTTTATTTACAGAGAAATGCCATTCCGCACGTATAATAAATATATCGAGAAATAATTAATCTTCAGTGTGCCTCTTATACATTTCTCAAAATATTTCAACCAGACTTTCAAAAATCTTTTGTCACTTACTGTGCCCTGTCGCAAAATTGTGAGATTTTTTTGTGATTTGATAACTTTTTACAGAATATTGGCCTCTGGTCTTCCGCCTATATATGTATTATATAGACAAATACACTTCTGTGTTTAACGACTCCTACATTTCTTATTAGTTTTCCACGTATATTTGTGTTTAAAGAGGAATTGAATCTTCTGTATGCATCTTTTCTGACTGTTCTAAAGGGATTTAAACCAACATATCTAAACACTTATATCACAGAACAATCGTGACCATGTGCTGCGGTGCATAATGTCAGGGTTTTGTGATTTAAATTTTTTGGCAGAATTATGGCCCTTTGTTTGTTCCAATATATAGATAAATAGAAATGCTCTTTGAACTGTACAACTCCTTAATTTTGTATAAATGAATTTCTTTCAGCAAATTTACAGTCCTTTGATGTTACTTTTAATATGATATGTAATAACAATATAGCAAAGAAACAAATACTTTTTTATGCGTGTAACTTTTCCTATATTATTTTTTTTCAACCAAAATATCACAGAACTTTTGTGTCCTGGTGCATACTGTCTGATCATTTTTGGGGTTATTTTGGTCCTTTTGTTCGTTTCTATATGTACAAATGTACGTAAAGGTGCACAAGGCCTCCAACATTTCTGAAAGAATTCAACCTCATTTTACAATTGACGTAAAACCTAGTAACAGCCTGGTCTTTTATTTACGTTATTTAAGTTTCAAACTTCAATATTATCGGTTACTCGATGATTTTTAATGATACTTTTATATTTATATCCATTTAATATTTAAATACAAATTTGTTACTCTTTCTCCTTTTTAATTATAAGGCCATTTATAAATTGAACACTTATACGTATTTGTCTGAATATTTTATTGTAGAGAAAATTATTAAATCATATTTTAGTTCTAGAAACGACAAATTGCGCTGTAGGGTAGAAAATAAATCACATGCTATTATGAATGTGATGTTTTATAGACCCCAGTGGTGTACGTAATTTTAATACTATTTCATCTTTCTGCAACAGTTAGATGTTTACTGTATAGAATTTACCGTTTTTCGCTGGCGAATGCAAACTCATAAAGTTGTTTCAGTACATCAGATTTCGATCGATT